ATCTAGAGAGCTTAAGCGGCGTAACCCCGTACGGGGTGTTTAGCCACAATATATATAATCAAACGTTGGTTTATTTTGATTTATTACAAAATTTTTGAGTTTCACGTTAATTCTAGCTATCAGCGGGGTATGGTCTGAGTTGACTTCTCCTCCGGGGTATGCTTTTACTGCTTTATTTGAGTTTTTGTATCTATTTCTGATTAATCAGACTACATAATGATAAATCAAAGATACCGAAGATCAGATCGTTGATGTTTACCTGGATCAAATATAAAAATTAAACAAAAATAATATTAAAAAAGTGTAAATATTCAGCGGAATGATAAAACAGAAAATATAAGATAAACCGATAAATCCGGACCATATTATATTGAACAGGTGTTCACACTGTGGATCGATCCTCACAATGTATTCATTTTAAGGGTAAAAATAATAAGCGATTTTATACTACCACAATCCAACGTGAAAGTGACAACAATAACGACCAGAAGCACAATATCTCACCACCAAATAAAACAGCACTTATCAGGTTTTTTGTCAAAACAACATTAGACCGCCAGGGTCGGCTTTAGTTCATGTTTCCAATAAAGTACATTTATACTGTACGGGAATATAAATGGACATTATTTTCACGGTAAATCATACCGGTAGATCACAAATATATCGAGCCCTTTCAGGAAAAACATCGTAGCCAACAATTTTTCGAATTTTTAATTTTTCATCGAATGTAATCCTAACAAAAGCTTTTTCGTTGACCAAAACATTGTAAGTCGAAGGAACACGGTTTTGAATTTAAAAATAATACATTTTATAGTTACCAACACAAGTTATTACCAGTGAAAGGCAAAACATCGTAACCTTGCCTATAAAAAATCGTTAAATCGTTAGTTTACTTTTGCATGGTTATGATGTTTTGAGTAAAGCCCGGCCGACTAGGAATGTGACAACTTGTCGGTCAACAAGCCTAAACCACATTAAACTGTATACGATCATTAACTGCATTAAAAAACTACGAGGATCAAATGGACGAAGACTTGTATTAAACGAAACCGTTTCACAAAGAGCTTTTTTTAAGCAATAGTGCATATGAACGTGTTCAGAAGTGGATTAATAGTAATGTACCGCATAGCTCTCCAAAAATTATACGACAAAATATCAGCAAAATTGTGGATTATGCATCATCTTCAGCATCATTGCTGAATGCTGTAATTACATCGAACACAAAATTTTGTTTAAATACTGATATAGTCATACTATATAGTCATCTCGAACATTCAGAAATGGCATGGAATCCAGAAATGAAACAAGAGGGTAGCTCTGATACTGAGAATCTTAAAAGTATGCAACCCACTAAAGATCTTTTAGTGATAGAGCAAAGAGGAATCTGCAAGCAAAAGCCACTTCCAAAGAAGGTTTCGAGGAAAATTGAAAAATGCACAGAAAAAAATTAAGCAGTGCAACCCAACCATTGTCTTAATAAAAAATGCGGTAATAAAAATTAAGTTAAAAATGAGATGTTGAGCAATATCTCCTAGAATTGGAAACAGCAGCGAAACAGGTCGGTCTAGTCATCAACGAAGACAAAACCAAATACATGTTGGTTACAAAGGATCCGATAGCAAATGAGGAACGAGAAACAGTCTTTGGAAGTCATACCTTTGGACGTGTTGATAACTTCACATACCTTGGGTCGCTATTGACTGCTACCAATAAAACAAACGAATAAATCAAAAGACGAATAAATCTTACGAATAGGGCATACTATGGACTCCAAAAGCATTTACACTCAAGAAACATTCAAAGAATAACTAAAATTATTATATACAAAACATTGCTGAGGCCGGTCCTCACATATGGAGCAGAAACATGGACTCTAACGCAGAAAGATGAAAGACTTTTGAAAATATTTGAGCGTAAAATACTCCGCAAAATATTTGGAGCTATAAACGACCAAGGGCAGTGGCGCAGAAGATATAATTTTGAATTGTATTAGCTCTTTGATGAGCCAGATGTCATAACGTTCATTAAAACACAGCGACTTAGATGGGCTGGACACATAATACGAATGCCAGAAAATACTATTGCTAAAAAGCTAACCACAGGAACACCTGTAGGAAGAAGAAGCAAAGGCCGACCGCGAATTAGGTGATTAGATGGAGTTGAAACCGACTTACGAATATTAAAAATCAGAAGATGGCAACATGTTGCCAGAAACCGAACAGAATGGCGACGAATCTTAGAGCAGGCCAAGATTCACAGAGGATTGTCGAGCCAAAGATGATGATGATAAATAAAAATTAAGTGAAGATAGAGATTTGATTTTTGAAAACTATTGGGGTATGGTAAGCTCACAACGGTAAAGAGATTGGATCTTATCCTGTATGGTGGAAACCTCAAATAAAAAAGAAAAAAGGCTGAGTCTATACGAAAATCAAAAACCAATAAATATTATATTCCATATAACAATGGAAAAGTAAGTTTGCCAACAATTTTTAATAAAAACGCTCAACATTTCCCAAATGACTCTACGATATACGAAAGTAAATGCACTAACCAATAACATGGCTAAACAAGACCAAAGGGAGGAAAAGAGGCCCCAAGAATAATTATTTTCTAGTCTTTTTGGTAAAGAAATATATAAATATTGTTCTAAAGCTATTTTCTTGTGGCATTTTAAATTAATTACTATTTAACTGGGAATAAGCCACAATTAAAGATAAAAATACGTTTATTGACGTTTCAATTTCCACTTCGGAAATCGTTCTCAAAATACAAACAGTAAATTAAACAAATTTTGTTTTTTGTTACATAGTGAAAAATTCTTCTAATAATTTAATTTTATCTGACTCATTTATATTGACAATTCAGACATACATTATGCATTTTAAAGTAGACGACTTTAAAATGATATTGCTAATATTGTTGAGTTGCGGTCCTGGGACGACTTTACTTATAAGATAGTTCATTCGATTACATAAAATCAACTTTAACTTGAGAATATCCGTCAGAAAAAAAATTTTCACTATGGAACAAAAAACAAAATTTGTTTAATTTACTGTTTGTATTTTGAGAAACATTTCCGAAGTGGAAATTGAAACGTCAATAAACGTATTTTTATCTTTAATTGTGGATTATTCCCAGTTAAATAGTAATTAGAAATATATTAAAAAACTACCGGCTGTTCCTTCGCATTACTGTAGGAACAAAAGCAATAAATTATATCTTTCAGCTGAGTTTGAAAACGTAACAAATTTGTATCGGTTATACAAAAAAGATCTCGTTGACTGTGAAATACTAACTGAAATTGTAACTCAGTAAGTTTCGGAAAATATTCCGGTCAGATTTCCATATTGGTTTTCATCTGCCAAAGAAAGACAAATGTAATCTTTATGAGAAGATTTAAGTATTTAAACAAGAGAAAGAAAAGAAGACAGAATCCTACAATCAACACATTAAAGATAAAGGAAAGTGCCTTGAAATACCAAAGACCAAAATCTTTTAAAATAAGGATTTGTGCTTTCTGCCAGCTTTGATATGGAGAAAGATTTTATGAGAGCGGTTCTGCAAATGTTTATTGTTACTTGTGGGATGAATCAGATGCAACAAAAGGCTGCAACGAAATTTGTACATTAGTTTACATGTACTTAAAAAAGAAAGACATTGTAGCCACACATAAAAAAATTTATCTATATTGCGACAGCTGTTCCGAACTGAATCGTAACAAAGAATTAAAAAATTTTTATTACCAGAACATACAATGATGCCCGTAGACTCAGTGCACAGAAGCATTGAACTTTTCAGCCGTGGCAAAGCTGTGTCGTCTTCAAGAGAATGGCTAACGTTTATATGCAAGTCAAGAACGACTCGTTTTAATTATGTTACGGAGTCATTGAATTATTCTATTTTTTTAAATTTAAAAGAATTTGCTGATACATTAATACGAAACAAATTCAAAATCAATATTAGTAAGCTTCGCATAGCCATGTTTAATAAAGATAACCCACTAAGCTTCATTGTAAAGTATGGATTCTTTAATAATAGTGAACTGAAAACTATAAATTTGCAGGAAACCTTAAGAACACGCGTAGACGTAATAATAACAATACCGCTCCCCAATAGCTCTACAACAATCGACTCAAATTTCGTCAGCTAAATACCTAGATCTTAAAAAACTCTCTCATAAGGGTGTTATCCCAGCAGAGTTTAAAGATGACTTCCTGTTATTTTTAAATATAGTGGTGATATGTCAGACTGCTTGATGGAAACAGATAACAAGGATATAAGTGACGTTGATTTTTGATTATATCTAATGTTTTTTAATAAATGTATAACTTTAATGATTGTAATATTTTTCATTGATTCTGACCAAATAAAATACAATTAAAATAATTCTTTATCAACGTGAATGCTTGAAATTTGAACACACGAAACATCGTAACCATGTTGACAAAAAGCGTAAGTGACACTTAAGCGAAAAACTTGAAAAACCAAACATCGTAAGTACCAGTGCTATTACAAAAATAAAACTACAACATAATTACTTTTGTCATTTGTATAGCACACTACCAAATAATATAATATAAAATATTTTTTTTCAGTACTTATTGGTACGAATATTAAATTAAAAAAACTCCTCCTGTAAAATTTCACTTTTGCTGGTTACGATGTTTTTCCTGAAAGGGCTCGATATTATCCCGTATATCATGAGATGTCGTTTTCTAAAGAGATTACGGCCAAAGAGGTTTAAAAATAATTCTATGAATAGTAACTTAACACCATATCCTATCGAGAAAAATTGGCTCAACCCCAGGTGCAATATCTGAACCTGCAGTTCAAACAGAACAAATCCTATAAAATACCTAATAGAAATGATTTAGCTTATTATTCTGAGTACAAACTGTAAAAAAAAACAATTAAATGCAAATGGAGTATAAAAAATTAGATTTTTAAATAATAGACTGAACAAAAAACTTACTTACGAATAATAATTTTATTTGTAGGTTCCTGTTTCGTTGGTTGGGTACCTGCACTTTTGTTTTATATTCTCACCTGTGAAGATTGTCCTATAAGTGGGCCCACTCTACTAAAACTTAATACTAAATACAAATATGAAGTACTGTCAGTTCGTTTAATGGAAAATACACTCATTATTATGAAGATGTTTGCCAATCCCATTATCTATACAATCAGGATAAAGGAAATTAAAGTAAGTATACATTTTAGTGCTCTTAACTGCTTTTTAAATTAAATCTGTCATATGTAAAGTGTGAGTCAATGTTGATATGGGACACGGTATTTTTCTTATATCATATATTTTGTTAAATAACTGAAATAGATGTCCTCGTTTACTTATTTAGTCTGCAGCTCTTTACAACCCATCGTGGGTCTTGGCTGATTGTACTATTTGCCTTCATTTCTTCTGCTCCATCACAAGGTATTTGTCCATCTATAGGTCTATGTTTATTTCTCTTGTGTGTGGGTATGTTTATTCATTACCCTGGTTCTGATCTGTTCTGATCTACAAATCCGCTACTGTATGGGTTATATTTATTTGTATTTGCTCTGTTAGCAGACTCTGGAAATAGTTTTTCCAGCCTGCTTTATTGCTGCAACATCACTGATAACTTCTTCATTATTTATAAAAAGAGTAGTGCGTTATTTATATCCCTTTATGAGTTGTTTTGGGAATTTATATGCTCTGCTAGTATCACCCTAATTAAAATCTTCCCCTGTAACGACCAAAAGTCTTCAGAAATCAGTTCTCAATCCTTGTACGCTCTACAATTATTAATGTAGGACTATCTGAATATGAAGCACTATATACCAAGTTTAACGCTCTTAACAAATCATCCTTGACAACCCAACATTTAGATAGGATATTTTCCGCTCAGAACTTTCGTAAATTCAAAAAAATTTTCTTGACTTCTGGATGGCACTTTGTCTCTGTGGACGTGGACAATAAATTCAGTTTTTTGTCTAGGCTTGTCTATATCTTCAATAAGGCATTTCCTTTAACTATAATTAAGTCAAAACATCACAAACCCTGGACTACCAATGGTATCCGCATGTTAGCCAAGAATGTGTGTTCGCTTCTATACATCAAGAAATTTACTACTAACGTATTTGTCACAAAATATATCTCCAAGTACAGAAGAACCTAAAACTTATCAAAACATCTAAAAAGATGTACTATCAAAATCATCTGGGAAGCCCAAAAAATGTTGCAAGTCAAACTTGGTCCATAATAAACGATCTTCGAAATAAAACTAACACAGCTCAAACATTTTTTCTTCCAAAACCTAAAAATCTAAATTAATACTTCGATAATATGAGTAAAAATATAACATCAACTATTTTAGCAGCAATAAGATTGTAACATTTTTTTTTATAATTGAAATATGAAATTATTTTTAATCCCTTTACCCCGGTTGCAGATACGCCGTTGGTCGTATTCACAAATGGGTTGTTAAATTTTATTGGGAAACTACCGAAATATTTTGAAAGAACCGACTTGTTATAGACGCCGGTTTGTGTAATCCGTTCCATTTTAATCCTTAGTTAATCCTTTTCCGATTTTTAAGCGAGTTAGTTTGATAAATTCGGTAAATATCGCCGAATTACGAATTACCTCGAACCTTCCAATAGTCGTTAGAACTTTACCTTCTTTGAAATGGATACTGTCCTATCATTTTTAGGTGAAATATACCCTCACCTTTTTTTAGATAGTTTGGTAAATTTTTGCAGAAGGAAAACCACTTCTGGGGGACAGTCTTTGCATAAGGACAATCTATTACTGTCTCTGTGTTATCGTACTGTTTTCTGTGCATTTTTTTTTTTTGAGTGTGTATACACTTATATAGTTTGAGTTTCGAAATCTAATACTATATTAGATTACAGTTATATATGGTTACAAAGTACCTTTTAATTTAAATAACTTCAGTGCTTGATACAAGTATAGTATATAGCTACAGTGAAGTACCTAGTGCAGCAGTCATCAAGATTTACTGTAAGTAACCATAGTATCGTCAATTATCTGGGTGAATAATATGGTATAGTATCATAATATCTTCAATTATCTGGGCGAATCTAAGTTTATCGATGTCTCACCTGTAGTTAAGATTAACTACCTATTTAACAATGGAATTCAAGGAACATTTATTAATTTCATACGAACTTTCAATCCGCTTTTAAGATCTTCGAACTTGCGAACATTTGAATCTCAATTCATAGGCGTGGAGCAAGCTGTGACTCCAACCATCTACTAGTACAGATACGGTTCAGATGTAAAATCAGTCGACAAGCAAAGGAAAAATATCCGAAACAAGAAAAACTAAACTTAGATAACCTAAAAGTCTCTGAGGTACAAGAAAGATTTGAGAGAACAGTGAGTGAAAAATGACTAGAAGAAAACATAGAAGAATTCACAATAGAAAATCATTGGAACACCATAAGCACTATCATACTAAACACGGCACAAGAAGTTCTTGGAACAAACACTCAACGGAGAGAAGAACAGTGGTTCGATAAAGAATGCAAACAAGCTATTCACGAAAGAAATGAAGCACATAAGAATTTCATACTCAGACGAACTAGAGAGAGAAGGACAGAATTTGAGAATAAAAGACGAAGAGCTGATAAACTATGCAGACAGAAAAAGAGACGGTACGAAAACAACCGGATACTAAACATAGAGAGGGCGTTCAAGGAAAACGAAACACGCAGTGCATACCAACTTATCAAACATTTAAGACAGGGTTACAAACCGAAGACTAGCCTATGCAAAAATAAGAATGGGGAAATAATTAGCGATATGGACGAAATTAAGAGAACCTGGATGATCTATTTTAAGGAATTATTAAACGAAAGGGCACAAACACCACTACAACAGCGGCAGCAGCAGGTAGAACAGGAAGGTCAACAACAGGAGCTGTGGGAAGATGGAAAAGATAATGAATTGGCTAAACCTCCAACGCTAGAGGAGGTTCGAACAGCAATCCAAATGCAAAAAAGCCATAAAGCGCCGGGAATAGATAAGATACCGGCAGAACTGTTCAAGCAGGGAGGAACAAATTTGACAGAAGAGATGTACCAGCTTATACAAGAAATATGGAGAGAAGAAAAAATCCCACAACAATGAAAGAAAAGTATAATTTGCCCTATTCATAAAAAAGGAGACAAACTGTTATGCTAGAATTATAGAGGCATCTCTTTACTTTGTTCGGGATACAAAATACTCACAAACATTCTTAATCGAAGACTTCAACCCCTCACTGAAAAAATTATCGGGGAATATCAAGCAGGGTTCAGGCAAAATAGATCTACTATTGACCAACTATTTACAGTTAAACAAATACTAGCCAAAGCATGGGAATATGACATAGACGTCTACAATCTCTTTGTAGATTTCAAGCAAGCCTATGATTCAATAGATAGAACAATACTACCTAATATATTACAAGAATTTGGCATACCATCAAAATTAATAAGACTAGTGCAAATGACAATGACAGAAACAGAAGCACATGTATGTATTCAAGGACAGATCACTGATGCGTTTATGACAACGCAAGGACTGAAACAAGGTGACGGACTGGCTCCAACACTTTTTAATCTTGTTCTTGAATATGTAATTAGACGGTTGACGGTGAGCAGAAATAACATACTTACAAACAAATCTACCCAATTAGCAGCATACGCAGATGATATAAACATAATGAGCAAAACAAAGACTGCGGCAGAAGAAACCTACGTTCAGTTGAAACAGAGTTCAGAAGTTGTAGGGCTAACAATAAATACAAATAAAACAAAACTACTCATACAAACCAGATCAAATAGACAGGCGCAACAACAACAATTTATAGACGATATAGAATACGTGAATAGATTCACGTATTTAGGAATGGATTTGGTCGAAAATAATGAAGAAGAACCGGAAATAAATAGAAGGCTTATGCTGGCAAACAAAGCCTATTTCGCGATGGGCCACATATTCAAATCGCGAGACGTACACCGGAAAACAAAACTCCGGGTATATAAAACAATAATCCGACCCATAGTAAGTTATGGGTGTGAAACATGGGTTATAACACAGAAATCTAAAAATGCATTAGACGTGTTCGAAAGAAAAATATTGCGTAGAATACTGGGTCCAATAAAGGAAAATAACAACTGGCGAATTAGATATAATAACGAAATATACGAACAATACACTGAACCAACACTAGCACAATACACTAGACTGCAGAGATTACGATGGGCAGGGCATGTGGCCCGCATGCATGAGAACAGAATCCCCAGAAAATTACTAAACGCAAGAATGCAAGGAAAAAGACCTGTTGGAAGACCAAAAAAGAGATGGGAAGACTAGGTAGATGAGGATGCCAAAAATCTCCTAAAAATGCGTTCATGGAAAAGAACAGCAGTAAATAGAGATGTTTGGAGAGGTTTAATGAAGGAGGCCAAGGCCTGGCTTGGGCTGTAGTGCCATTGGATGGATGGAATCTCAATTAATTATGAAATAACGGTGCGAAGAGATAATCAACTTAACCAAGTGCGGTTTGGGTAAATTTTTATTTCTGTAATCTTTTTTTCTCCTTTGAATTTACCTTTAATTAACTTTGTGTTATTTGTTATTAATTTGTTTAGTTACTGTATTATCTCGAGATACGCCCATAAAACTTTATTTGTGCATGATAACATTATATTGTATTTGTAAATGTATTTCCTAATTATATTACTGTTCATTTCTATATATATATACAACTCTTGATCAATTGATGGTGCATTTTTTATTATTTTTGTGAACATTCAGCCGCCTATATCATTGTGTTGTTGAATATATCGTTTTTGTTTTATGTATGAATTTTATTTCCCGACTTCTAACAAGATTCCTGATATAACAATAACTCTGAATATTTGCTTTTTACCGTCAATTATTACTATACTTTGACCAGGGAAAGATCAGGATGATTTAGTTTCGTAGGTAAGTAGGTGGACGGAGTCTATCTAATATATTTATTATTTGTTTATGTAGGGTGTTGACCAAATTTATTTAATTAGTAACTGTTGACATCTTTCCTTGGATTTGGTCTCAGACCTAAATATCTTTTCTTATCTCTTTTCTTTTCTAAGGTTTCTTAATTTTCTCTTTAAACTCCAAAAAATTGAGTGGCGCCCTGTTTCTATCTTATCGTATCTTTGGTAATTTTACCCATCTATCTTTTTGTTTATTTCTGTATCTTTTCTAATATCTCTTATCCTATCTTTACTTATTTCATACGTTGGACCCATTCTCGGTTCCAAAAGCTAGTTTTGAATCAACGACTCGCTTTCCACCAACCATCTGGCTGCCGTCCGCACTGTCTCCATTCTTGATCTTTCTAGCACCATCCAAAAAAGGTTTCTGAGTTTACAAGATCCTATTTCTTATTTGCCCCATTCAAAAAACGTCTCGAATACATTCTTTATAAGACCAGTTGATAAAACTGAATTAACCCAAATAATTAGTAGTATCAAAGCAAATCTTCCTGTAGTACTGATGGGCTATCCATCAAAATTTTCTTAAATCTCCCAAAATGTGTTTGAAAGTCCTGGTCTCACTAATTAATGATTCTTTTGAAAAAGGCATCTTTCCAGAGTGCCTAAAGACAGCCATTTTTATTCCACTTCATAAGGGTGGTGAAAAATCTGATATCTAATCTGATACTGACTTTCAAGAGAAGCAGTAACATCTCCAGAAGATTCCAACCCCTAGTGTTGGCGAGACGTCAAGAACTAATCTCAGAAGACAGCAGCCCTAACAAACAGTTTAACAAGTTATATGCATTTTAGCAGATGAACAGTTATACGCCATGACGCAACATTGTGATACATATGGGCCAATTTTCATAAGGGCTACCAAGTTCCCATGCTAAATTCCCTCCTTTTTTCATTACATTCTATTTATTTTAAACTACAAATAAATAATTAATTTGAACACCTATACATAAATTACATGTCTATATTGTTTCTTTTAGGATAGCACCCACAGAATGTACCTTGCTATAGTTGGACTGTTCTGCCCAAGTCGACGGAACAACAATTCCTACGGATTGGCATACCAACCATCACGGAAACAACACAGTGTTGTCACGTCTCAAATACGCATGAACTCTTTTCGTACTTCAACAGAAACTCAAGTTATTTGACAAGAGGTTATGATGCAAAATACACTGTTGTAAATTGTTGTGAATTTTCTGTATCGATGTCCGTGTTGACAGGGGCACGAATGTATAAAGATTTAATATTAAAATGCAACTTAAGCTGAGCTTATCCAAAATTAAGCGGTCAGTTATGAGTTAGATTTATTTATTATATGTGACATTTTTCTATACAATTTATATTTGATTGTAATTTATTCTTTGTGAGTTTAATAATTTGACTACCGATCGTAAAGTCAATATAACGGAAGATACTAGCAATCCGGTGGTGACCGCAAAACCTGAACCCCTCCTTATTTTGGTACTTTATCTATAGCATACTTCTTAACCCTAATACCCTAATATCCTAATACCCTATAACGTCCGTCACGGACTTTAAAGGCGTCCCTCGAACGTCCGCTTTGGTCCCAAGGACGTCTTATATTAGTCCCAATGTCGCTGTGCCAAACGTCCTATAGACGTCTTAGAATCAGCATTTATTACAAAATCAATCAAATATTTATTTGCAAATTTTGGTTTCTCATAACCATGGCAAATGCCTATTAAACCCACAAGTTTCAGATATATAAACAAATTACACAAACTAGGATAAAACTGACTACTAGAACTCTTTTTTGGTGGGATTCCGTCAAAATTTGCACAAATTTCTATAACATTGGTTTTTTTTTGCGAAGATAAAAACACCTTTGAAATTTGCATCATATGGATCATTGTATTTTTTTTAAGACCAAAGTGGAAATATTTTTTAGGGAAAACGTCCTTAAATTTAAGTTCTCTGGGTGAAGCAAGAAGAGTTCTAGCATCTGATGCTAAATGAGAAAGATCAGGAACTTTTTCATGTTTTTATTAAATCACCTAGTATCTTAAAGCACAAAGTCAAGTTGCATAATTTATTAGAAAATTTAAAAATATCTCGATAAGATTTTCCAGAATTCTCGTTACAACCGTGTTGAGACCCTTCTTCAGTTTCATTGAAAGAAGAGTTTTGTAAAGGATATAAACCAGAATAGTCGTACAGCTGGTCCAGTTGGATTATTTTAGGTACTTAAGATGATAATTGATGGATTCGACCGTTACTTATTGGAAATTCATTTTTTGTAACAATAAAATACTGAAAACTTTTTTTCAAACTTCCACAAAATTTATTTTAACTATTATCACTACAGCTGTTTCGGCTGATTGCCTTTCTCAAGTGATCTATTTTTGGCATGCGTTTACAATTTATAGTCTCTACTGAAATAGGTTAAGGAGGGGAGAACTGTTTCTCTCAAGTTGGTCATTCAGAATTATATCTGTGTTTTTTAATTTGTTGATTTCCATAGATTCTAACAAAGATAGCTTAAGGCCTTTATTTTGAATGTGAAGAATGTTAAATTTGTCATTAAAAGAATGATTATGATCTAGAAGGTGAAGTGCGTATGTAGAATCTGTTTTTCTATTATTGAAAGCCCTTTTATGTTCTGCTATTCGTTTATTAAAGTTTCTACCAGTTTGACCGATGTAAGTTTTTGGTTAGTCGCCACATTTAAGTTTGTACACACCACTATTTAAGTGTTTTTTATTTTGGCTCTTGTTATTTTTAATATATTTGCCTACGTTGTTATTTGTTCGGAAAGCTGGTGTTATTCCTTTCTTTTTTATATGTTTGGCTATTTTTGTTGTTATTTTGCCTGTATATAATCCTACACATACTGACACGACTATACACAATTCATCATCCCATCCAACACAACATAAACTGGCAGCTTATCATAGTATGTTACATATATTAACAGAAATTCCGATGTCAAAATACAATTTTGAAACAGAATTAAATATAATTCAGCAAATAGCAGTAAACAACGGATAAAACGAACAAACAATTATTAAAATGTTAAATCAAAAACTACACAAAAAAAAGCCCTAAAATTAGTATTTCCACCACCAGAGAAAAAACCCAGTACCTTCTGCTCGATTACATATGTAGGCAAAATAACAACAAAAATAGTCAAACACATAAAAAAGAAAGGAATAACACAAGCTTTCCGAACAAATAAGAACCTAGGCAAATATATTAAAAATAACAAGAGCCAAAATAAAAACAACTTAAATAGTGGTGTGTACAAACTTCAATGTGGCGACTGCCCAAAAACTTACATCGGTCAAACTGGTAGAAACTTTAATAAACGAATAGCAGAACATAAGAGGGCTCTCAATAATAGAAAAACAGATTCGACATACGCACTTCACCTTCTAGATCATAATCATTCTTTTAATGACAAATTTAAAATTCTTCACATTTAAAATAAAGGCCTTAAGCTATCTTTGTTAGAATCTATGGAAATCAACAAATTAAAAAACACAGATATAATTCTGAATGACCAACTTGAGACAAACAGTTCTCCGCTCCTCAACCTATTTCATTAGAGACTATAAATTGTAAACGCATGCCAAAAATAGATCACTTGAGAAAGGCAATCAGTCGAAACAGCTGTAGTGATAATAGTAAAAATAAATTTTGTGGAAGTTTGAAAACAAAGTTTTCAGTGTTTTATTGTTACTTAAGATGATGTTGATTTTATTGATGATGCAGTTTAAATCGGAAGTATTGTAATCTGAAGTATTTGAAATAAAACTCTCATCAAAATGATCAGTTAGGGATTCGGAAAAAAGGTTTGAAACAGATGGAATATCGGGGTTATTAATATTTCTATATTCTCTAGGTTTTTCGTAACCATCCTCTATTGATGACGCTTACCAACAAATCGTTTTCTTTTAAACATAACTAATTTTAGGAAGAATACTTACACTTACGTTTTTGTAATAAAATAAAAACCAAACTGGGAAGTAACCTAACAAATGGTACCAAATATTTAACAATATACTATAACCAAAGCAAACATCAAAAAAAGTTGCTAACTCACACCATTTGCATAGCATATTGCTTAAATTGAATTCATTTATTCTATCATCGTGGTAACTAGAATAATAAAATATTTGTAACGAATTAGCTAGAAATAAAAAAATTTTACACTTTACCTAAAAACAAAAACATGTTTTGGATAAACCTTTTCGCTTTTAATTATTTTATTAATATAAATATTTTTTTATTATATTAAAATATTTGCTATTTGATCCCATAATTGCTAAATGTCGGACGTCCAGAAAACGTCCAAGTACGGACGTCCAGGGCACGTCCCAGTCCGCACGTCCAGAGAACGTCCATATTTAGTCCACCCGAAGTACGTCCCAAGTACGTCCGTTTAACGTCCAGAGACGTCAGGACCAAAACTGAACGTATATTGGACGTTCAGAGGATTATTATAGGGAAATTTTAATTAATATAATTTACATAACACTAAAAGCTCTTTTAGAGTCTTAACTTTTTTGTTTATTAACCAGTCTTAATGGTTTTTATTTTTCCAGTTACTACTAGGTAATGGCTCCTTTAATATTGAATGTTAACTGGCATTGTCCACAACTACGAAAGAATTGATCGATAGGAAATGTATCACTATCCCAATCATCAATATGGTTTAACTTAACGTTCACAAAAATTGGTGTCACGTTGAAAAATCTGCGTATGACGTCTACTGGTTGGATAACTCAACCAAGGTAGTACCACCCATGAATTCCCATCTGTCAGGTACCTTACTCCTCAACCAGTCACTTACTCTATTTTTAATCGCTAAATAATAATTTTGGATAAGCTAGTCAGCTTGAGTATCTGCTGTAAATTTTGGTACTATGCTATTTACTGTGATGTCTAAGTGAAATGTAAACATATGTGTTGAAAAGTAAAGCATTTTAACATCAGAAGTTTGTTTTCTTTGTCATTATTCCTTACAAAGTATAAGAGTTGTTAGTCTGTCAAAAATTCATTTAAAAAAGTGGCTGTGGACAGAATTTGTGTCACCAGAAAATTAATTATAACGAGAAAACCATAATTTGTTACACAGCGTTGTAATACAACTACGTTGAGCATCAATGTTACAAGAAAACTAAAGTTGTACTTTAGAAGATATAAGAAAGAGGCAAAGGTAAAGAAAAAGATTTATGGAAGACAAAAATAAAGGGCAAATGTTGAGGCTGTCATTAGAGGCAATAGAAATTAACATTAGGAACTCAGAAAGCGAATACGGATTCTTGAATCCAAAAAAATGATAAGGTCAAACATAAATGCCCAAGAAGAGAATCTTATTTTTAAGGTACCTTCTCCATTACTGAAGGTTGGCTATAACTACAGCAAATTGCTCTCTATCTTGAGCTGTTCTTAATATCAAATGTGTGTCCATGTCTGTCCAGTCTCTTACATTCTTCAAACAGAAGCATTTTCTTCTTCCTGGACCTCTTCTTCCTTCCACTTTCCCTTAAGTGCCAAGATTGCAGAGTAAAAAGAGGATCTAACTGTGGGATAGATCACTACTTTTTTTTAGCTAATCTTTTGTGCCCCTTTACACAATACTACAAACCGAACACCGAAAATAAGAAAAACAATACTATACAGTACAAAACAGAGAAATATTAATTGCATCTTTTTCAATCTAGATTAGAAAAGAAATTAAATGAAATAAAAAGAAATATGGATGTATAACAAGAATACAACAACCTCAAAACGATAATAAAAAAAATTGCTTATGAAGTATTAGGAACAGAGAACAACGACAAAAAATACCACGAACCACCATGGATGACAAAAAACGTAAAAGAAATTATACAAGAAAAAATTCAAAATATATAAGAAATAGCTAACAAATAAAACATCTAGCAATAGAGTAACATATCAAAGTAAAAACGGAGAAGTACTCAATCAAATAAAAGAAGCAAAAAACAATGTTTGGAAACAAAAGTGTGTCCAACTTGAAAATTTAATTGGTGGTTCTCAGATTACAGAAGTATAAAGAACTATCACTAATATAAAGAAAAACACCCGTAACTCCTTAAGCAACTTAATTCCTCTAGAAAAGTGGGAAAATCACTATAAAAATTTACTCCAAGGTTTCAGATTG